TCTCTTTCTCTCTCTCTCTCTCTTTCTCTCCCTCTCTCTCTCTCTTTCTCTCCCTCTCCCTTTCTCTCCTTTCTTTCTCTCTCTTCCTCTCTTTCTCTCTCTCTCTCTCTTTCTCTCCCTCTCCCTTTCTCTCCTTTCTTTCTTTCTCTCTCTCCCTCTCTCTCTCTTTCTTTCCCTCTCCCTTTCTCTCCTTTCTTTCTCTCTCTCTTTCTCTCTTTCTCTCCTTCTTTTTCCCTCCCTCCCTTCCTCTCCCTCCCTCCCTCCCTCTCTCTCTCTCCCTCTCCCTCCTTCTCCAGGAGAAAGCCATGGGCAACCGTCCGATGGAGATGATGGACAGAGAAAAGGCTTACATCCCTGAGCTGCAGATTAGCTTCATGGAGCACATCGCCATGCCCATCTACAAGTGAGTGTGCCCGGCTTTGCGGGTTCAAGGTGTGCAGGGTTGGGGGGGTGGGTGGGGGTGTTGTCTGTGTTCCTCAGGCAACCTCACCAGCAGGGCATGTGAGTGTGCGAGGCCTCTCCAGAGGGAGGAGAAGCGTGCAAGGTGCAGAGAGGGCTTCCTTCTGGGTTCGTGGCGTGCAAGATGGGAGCGAGGGGGAATCTCACAAGCAGGACGCACCAGCGTGCGAGCCCCCTGCCCCTGAAGTCCCCAGAAGACACTCCCAGATAGACTGCTCCTGTCCCTGGAGGCTCTCCTGTTGGCTTTTGGAGAGCTGGAGACCCTCCTTGGGGTATTTGAGTCCTCTCTAGCCCCACAGGGAGATCGGATGGCCAGCCAGCCCTGCTCCAAGCCTGCTTCAGGAGCTCTCTCCCCGAAATCCCCAGAAGGTGGTGGACAGTCCCAGATTGACTGCTCCTAGCCCTGGAGGCTCTTTCTTGGGGTATTTCCCCCACCCCAATCCGAGTCCTCTCTGGGCCCCAGAGGGAGACTTGATGGCCAAAGGGCCCCTGCTTCCAGGCTACTTCAGAAATTCTCTCCCCAAAATCCTCCCCGGAAAGCAGCGGACCTTCCCAGATAGACTGCTCCTGCCCCTGGAGGCTCTCCCACCAGCTTTCAGCAAGCCAGAGACCCCTCCTTGGGGTATTTCCGCCCCCTCCGGAGTCCCCACTGAGCCTCGCAGGGAGGTCTGACATCCATCCGGTCTTCCTTTGGCTGTTTTTTTAAACAAAGTTTTATTTTTTTATTTTTTTGTTGCATATTTAAAATCCTTTTGCAAATTTTCTCATGCGCGTAATTCACTTTGCATTATATTTCCATTTTCCATTTCAGCTGTATTGTTTTCTTCCCTTCCCCCCCCACCCAACTTAAAACAATTTTTTAAAATATACATAAAGCGTTTCATTTTTATCCCTTCAGAAATAAACCAAGTTTATTGTTTCGTTTCCCTCTGTTTTCTATAAGTAAGAAATCTCTTCAAATTCAGTATTGCATAGCATCCACATTTTTACTTAAATGAGCATGGAGACTATGATGAATAGACAAATATTAAATAGCAATTATAAGAATGTATATTTATGAATGAATTTGAAAGGGAAAAATTAAAAAAAACCTTTAAAAAAAATCAACATTTTACTTAATAACTTGCACAGTTAATAATATATTAGTAGAGTTCAATCCCAGCAACTTAGAACCGAGGAAAAATTTCCTGACAGTTAGAACAATTAATCAGTGGAACAGAAGTTGCCTCCAGAAGTTGTGAATGCCCCAACACTGGAAGTTTTTAAGATGTTGGATAACCAATTGTCTGGAATGGTATAAGGTTTCCTGCCTAGGCAGGGGGTTGGACTAGAAGACCTCCAAGCTCCCTTTCAATTCTCTATTCTATGGATGGATGGATGGATGGATGGATGGATGG